AACTGCCAGTGATGTGGTCTACCTATCTAGAAGTCCTACTGTCTGTGTTCTTTTAGGTTTTATTGTGATTTCATCTATTTCTACTGCTCCAATAGAATATCCCAGACTGGGTAATTTATAAAAAAATGTTTTGCATTTTTCTGGACGCTGGGAAGTCCAAGATTGAAAGGCTACATCTGGTGAGATCCTACTTGCTGCATCAAAATGTAGAAGGCCTCATATTGTGAGAAAGCATGTATTCCAGACTTAGAGCAAGATATATCACCTTTATAACCTCATTTTATAACAGTAACAACCTTGCTCCTCATCTTACATGTCTCAATACTGTGTCAATGCCAATAAAATTTCAGCTCGAATTTTGGAGTGGCTATTCAAGTCACAGCTTGCAGACCTCCTTGAGACTCAGGCACTTTAGTACATATGTTTAATTTTGCTTGAAATGACATTTCCCATGCTGATTTTGTTCATTTTTAGGCTTTGTTAGAAACCTTTCCTAAGAAAATTTTCAGACTGATCAATATAAAATAGATTTTTATTTATTGTTTTCTTGCATATAGCTATGTGCTTAGTTTATACATGTTCTACTATTCATATGTTTGTGTGTTTCTTATGATGTTTATTTGTTTATAATCTACCTTTTCCATTAGACTTAAATACCATGAATACAGAACTGGTGTTTATTTTGCATTAATCTGAGTTCATACACTTTTTTGAGACACATTAGGATCAATAAACAATTGAATTAATTTGTATTTGTTCTCAAGGGCTCAAACATTTAAGGTGAATTAGGGATGGATTTGCATTTGTCATTCACTTTCTTTACTTAATGACATTCACATGTCATAATACATTTGTTAAATTGGCTCCTGGAGATCAAGCTGAGTCACGATTCATTGATTTTCAAAAAGAATTACTACAATAATGAAAATACACTTAAGATCTTCACAGAAGAGAGCTGGATCCCCATTAAGCTATAATCACCTGATTCCTATTTAGGTGAGTAAAGTGTTTTGTAACCCTCACATGGTATTTGCCTCCTGAGAGCTTCACAACTACAGAATTCCCTCTTGGTTCTCGTTGTTGAAACTTTTGAGTTATGACCTAACTCCAATTGTATTTATTTTAAAGGCAGCAGCCCCAAAACTGAATCCCTTTGACCATTCCTTTATTAATAGGCATTTAGTAGCTAGAGTGACCTTCCCTCAAACTGATATATTACTCAGAACCTACAACAATGTCTAGGGGAAAAACCCGTAGCAATCATGTTTATTGGTGTTATGATTATCACTCCTTCCAAGTATAAGGTATTATAAGAATCCTCTTAATTACTTATCATGGTGATAGTTTGTAGGCTGGATATTGTTGGAATTTCATTATTTCCTTTTTGTAAATTAAGATATCAAGGTAAAAATGGATTAAGCTATCATCTCAGAAAAAAGGACAAAAAATTCAGAACTAGAACTTATATTAGGTGATCCCAAGACCAACGGCAGGCACTTTTTTCAATTTCTCCCACCTTTCAAAGAACTTTAAACCATTTGTATACACACTAAAGAAGAGTACTCTAAACAAAAGTACTTTGCTTCTTTCAAGGACTAAATTTCTGACTCCAAGACCTAATCACATAAGAAGGTGCTGGACTTGCATGTTGTACTGTTCAGAAGGAAGGTAAGCCTTTATTTCACATCCACTATCTGCATAAAGTTGCAGAGGCAGAGGAAGCCTGGAGAATTCAAGACACCTTTCTTTCCTTTTGCTTATTCGAGCTTTGGTTTGAACATTTTGAATTTTTAAATCCATCTCATACATCTAGAAGCTAGATTGTTTTTATTTCTTTTCTAGTTTTTTATTATTGTTGTGCTTGGGGTACATTGTGACATTTATAAAAGTTCTTTCAATATGTAAAATATATCAGACTTGAATTCAGCCCTTCCATCATTCTCCTTTATCATCCCTTCCCCCATTTCTGGAATAGTTTCAATAGGTACCATTTTCTACGTACATACATTTATACACAGTATTTATACCATATTCACCCTCCTACACTCTTTACTCACTCCTCCCCCATCCCACTGATACCAATCTCCAGATAGAACCTGTTATGCCCTCCTGTTTTATGATTTTGTAAAAATAAAGTGACATTTTTATTTAAGATAGCTATACAGGAAGTTTACTTGTGACATTTCCATATATATAAATCATAGCCTGAATTAGTTCATTCTCTTTTTCTCCTTTCTACCTTAGTCCCTTCTTATGATGATTTCAATAGGTTTAAAAATTCTATCTTCATTCTCATATAGAAAGTACATAACCATATTCATCCTCTTAACTTACCAGAAGTTATATTATAAATAACAATGAGTTTTTATTATGACATGTATATTTATTGTGTGGTATAAGATGGAAAGATAAGAAAGCATTTAGTCTCTCCTTGCAAAGTTTAAACTTCCATGAGTTTGAGCAAATTATTTAACCTATTATCTCAGTTTCTTTTTCAGGGAATATAATATTAGTTATCTTGACCCCAGGATATTGAGAAGATCAGGTGAATATCACTATGATATTATTGTAATTTGGAAGCTAATATTTATTTTTAAAATAGAGACTTAAGGAATAAATTAATAAATGAGGGTAAATTCAGGCTTAGAAACTAGTTATCAAACTCACTGAAATATAGAGGCATAAATTTATACATGATACAATTAATTTTGAGAATGAGCAGACCTGATTTCATGTCTTAAATATGCTACTAAAAGTTTATCTAGTATCTGGCTGTGGTCTAAAGTATAAATGTCACCAACTGCCATCATTGTAGTTCTGAGAAAACAGTGTTCTGGGAATGAGATTAGTTGTCTGTTTCAGTCTGCTAAACATCTTGAAGTCAAGGACTACGTCTTGTACCTTAGTGTAGGCCTGGAAATCAGTACACAGTCTCATGTGCCATGAGAAGTGACTTAAAACCTCTAGGGAGAATAAAGGAACCAACAGTGTCCAGCAGTTCCTGTGGCTTATTGGTTGTGTTCCTAAAAATGTTCCCTTATAACCTCAGTGAAGATGTGGAGATGGTTATAAAGATTCGTAGATACAGTTCTTGTATTTCAACTGGAGCTCACAAGTATAGATTATTTTCATAAAGTCACACAAGTTGAAAACATATTTGATTCTCAAGGTCATGTTTTTCACTTACCATTATTGACTTCTGGCAGATTTAATCACTCAGTCAAATAATTAGGCATTTAATGGGTTACTTTCTTATGCCTAGTTTAGGTTAGATTACAGAGTTTAAAATAACATTTCTTCATGATAAAGAAGTAAGACTTAAATTCACAGTGGATTGTCTTCAAATATGACCTCTGCTAAGTTTTTAGCACTTAGTGTGTAAATAAATGTAAGTTTCAGTTTTCATATCTGTGAATGGGGAATAATATTTCACTTGACTTGTGACATTTAATGTGGTAAAGCAGCACTGTTTCTAGATTGGTGATAGATCATGATGAATAGTAAATTAATCATATCTACAACAGCTAAAGTTATATTATGGCTTCCATGTACATAAAACTAAAAACATTTCAGTAATGAAGCAATACAAATCTGATTATCCTGGCATAATGATGTCTGAAGAAGAAGGAATGGGAAGCCATCAAGGGAGCTTTGGAACTATGTTATTCTTTGAAGAATACATGAGATTTGCATGAGAAAGCATTTTGCATGAGGAAGCATATTCTTTCTGAAGCATTTTGTCAGGAAGAATAAATATTTTTTTTGTCTTGAGAACTAAACAATATGATCTTTTGATTTATAAGAAAATCTCCTGTCTGTGGAATAAAGACCGGTAAAAGATCAACAGATGCCTCAGAACCTTTGCAGTTCTTATTTTCTTTTCAATAGGCTAAAATAAGTTTAGTGTTTTTCCTCTATTATGTTGGATTAAAACCTCAGATTTCATATGTAAAACAGAAAGTTGATAAAAAAGAAGTTTCAAAAGAGATATTGACTCAAATGAGTAACTTTTTGAGGAACTAAAAGGGTACCTAAGTCACCCTGCTCTGAATAAGTCCCTTTGAGATCAGGGATATCTGGATGTAAAAGCTAAAAGTGGTACTGCTGTAATAAAAGTTAAAAACTGTTAATTCCTTGATGTCTTTATTCCATGCACATTAATTTCTACAGGAGCACATATGCTACAAGACTCTTTTTTAGCTAAAAGCATGTTTTACTTAATCATGTCTCACTATCATGTAACTTCATACAAAGGAAATGACAAAAAGTCAGCAGATACAAAATTAATTCAATTTTACCTTAACTTATGAAGTGTTAAGACCTGATCATGTCACCCCTAAATTCATATGTTGAATTTGAGATCTACAAAGTGAAGTACAAGGAGATAGAACCTTAGGGAAGGTTCATCCCTAAGGATGATTTGGTCATGAAGAAGGAGCCATTGTAGATGGGACTTGTAACGTTTTATTAAATAGGCCCCAGAAAGAGCCTCTTTAACATGTAACACATAGCAAGATCATGCTACCATGAACTAGGAAACAGGTCTGTGTGAATCATGATTTTTCCCAATGCCCTAATCTTGGATTTCCAACAATCAGGACAGTGAGAAATAAATTTCCATTATTTATATTCCACCAAATATATGATATTTTATTGTAATATCCAGAATAGTTTAAGACCCTTAAACTATTATTATAAAGAATAATTTTGTTTTGCAAAGTTTTAAGGGACTTCAATCTGTTTCAGTTGTGATCTTTTCTGGTTCTCATTCAAATCATCTCTCTAATTCTTTTTTCTGGGGCAGTATATGATCTACCACCAATTTAAAGTTGTGTTTTGTTTTCATGGCATGCTTTAGATCAAGACCTCTGAAAACAAGTTATTGCAATATTGAAATAAGACATGGAGTGGACAAGATGACTGAACTGAACAAAATCTTCCCTCCATTTGTCATTCTGATTCCCCTTTCTCATTGCTATAGGAAAGTCACATAATTCCCAATGGAGAATAGTACAGAAGTGACTGAGTTCATTCTTAGAGGGCTAGGGCATGAGCCAGAACAACAGACCGCATTCTTCATAATCTTCTTTCTTATCTACCTCACCAGTCTGCTTGGGAACCTGGGAATGATTGGACTGATCCTGCTGGACTCTCATCTCCACACCCCTATGTACTTTTTCCTCAGTAACCTGTCCCTGGTGGACTTTGGATATTCTTCAGCTGTCACTCCTAAGGTGATGGCAAGTCTCCTCACAAGAGCTACAATCATGTCCTACAACTCTTGTGCCACCCAGCTCTTCTTCTTTGTAGGTTTTATCACTGTAGAAAGTTTCCTCTTGTCCTCCATGGCTTATGACCGCTATGCAGCAGTGTGTAAGCCCCTCCATTACACCACCATTATGACCATGAATATGTGTGCTTTTTTGACCTTGGGCTCCTATGTCTGTGGTTTCTTTAATGCCTCCATCCATACATGGAACATTTTCAGGCTCTCCTTCTGCAAGTCCAATGTAGTTGATCACTTTTTCTGCGATATTCCTCCTCTCCTGGCTCTTTCCTGCTCAGACACTTATGTTAGTGAGAAGGTTATTTTTTTTGCAGTAGGTTTTAATGAACTCTTCTCTGTCCTGGTCATAATGATCTCCTACCTGTTTATATTCATGGCCATCCTGAGGATGCATTCATTTGAAGGGCGCCAGAAGGCCTTCTCCACCTGTGCTTCTCACCTCACTGCAGTCTCCATCTTCTATGGGTCAGGGTTCTTCGTGTACTTACAGCCCAGCTCCAGTCACTCCATGGGCACTGACAAAATGGCATCTGTGTTCTACACCATGGTCATCCCCATGCTGAACCCAATGGTCTACAGCCTGAGGAACAAAGAGGTTAAGAATGCCTTCAAAAAGGCTCTGTGGAAAGCAAAATCTTCTATAAGACTCATATTTTAACTGTATGGAATCCACAATCAGGCAATTTTGATTACCTTATATTATCTTTGTTATTAAGTCCAACATATGGACCTTCTTATGAAGAGTTTCTACTGACTTTATTTTAATTTTTTTCCTTTTTAAAAAAATTAATTTATTCACATGTGCATACATTGTTTGGATCATTTTTCCCCCTTACTCCCTGCCCCATCCCTACCCCTCCCAACCCCCCTCACTTCGAGGCAGAATCTGTTCTGCCCTTATCTTTAATTTTGTTGAAGAGCAAGTATAAGCAATAAGAAAGACAAAGCGTTTTTGCTACTTGAGATAAGGATAGCTATACAGAGAGATTCCTGGCATTGCTTCCATATACAAATGTGTTACATCCCAAGTTGATTCATCTCTAACTGACCTTTTCACTAGTTCCTGATCCCCTTTTTATATTGACCTCTGTTGTTTTAAGGTTTCTGTATTAGCTCCTCTGCAGTGGGGACATCAAATACTATCATGTTTTGGGTTTCTTACCTATCCCTGTACCTCCCATGTGTGCTCTCCCCTTATCTTGTGACCCAAGTTCGAGCACATTGTTGTATTTGCCCTAGATCTAAAGTCCACATATGAGGGAGAACATATGATTTTTGGTTTTCTGAGCCTGACTACCCTTGCTCAGGATGATGTTCTCCAGTTCCATTCATTTACTTGAGAATGATAAGATTTCATTCTTCTTCATGGCTGAGTAAAATTCCATTGTGTATAAATACCACATTTTCTTAATCCATTCATCAGTAGTGGGACATCTTGGCAATTTCCATAACTTGGCTATTGTGAATAGCACTGCAATAAACATAGGTGTGCAGGTGCCTCTGGAGTAATCTGTGTCACATTCTTTGGGTATATCCCGAGGAGTGGGATTGCTGGATAATATGGCAGGTCTATGTTGACATTTTTAAGAAGTCTCTAAATTTTTTCCAGAGTGGTTGCACTAGTTTGCATTCCCACCAGCAGTGTACAAGGGTTCCTTTTTCCCCCACATCCTCACCAACACATGTTGTTGGCGGAGTTTTTGATGATGGCTATTCTAACAAGGGTGAGGTGGAATCTTAGTGTGGTTTTGATTTGCATTTCCTTTATGGCTAGAGATGGTGAGCATTTTTTCATGTGTTTTTTTGGCCTTTTGAGTTTCTTCTTTTGAGAAAGTTTTGCTTAGTTCAGTTGCCCGTTTCTTTATTGGGTCATTGATTTTGGGAAGTTTAATTTCCTAAGTTTCATGTATATTCTGGTTATCAGTCCTCTGTCTGATGTGTAGCTGGCAAATATTTTCTCCCACTCTGTGGGTGGTCTCTTCAGTTTAGAGACCATTTCTTTTGCTGTGCAGAAGCTTTTTAGTTTTACAAAGTCCCATTTGTCCATCCTTTCTCTTAGTTGCTGAGCTGCTGGGGTTCTATTGAGGAAGTCCTTATCTATATCTATTAAATCCAGAGTGTTTCCTGCTCTTTCCTGTACCAACTTCAGAGTTTCGAGACTGATATTAAGGCCCTTGATCCATTTTGAGTTGATACTAGTACAGGGTGATAAACATGGATCTAGTTTCAACTTTTTTGCAGACTGATAACCACTTTTCCCAACAACATTTTTTGAAGAGGCTGTCTTTTCTCCATCGTATATTTTTAGCACCTTTGTCAAAAATAAGATGGGCATAGTTGTGTGGGTTCATATCTGGGTCCTCTATTCTGTTCCACTGGTATTTATGTCTGTTTTTGTGCCAGTACCATGCTGTTTTTACTGCTATTGCTTTGTAATATAGTTTGAAGTCAGGTATTGTGATACTTCCAGCATTGCTCTTTTTGCTAAGTATTGCCTTGGCTATTCACAGTCTCTTGTGTTTCCAAATGAACTTTGGAGTAGGTTTTTCAATTTCTGTGATGAATATCATTGGGATTTTGATGGGAATTGCATTAAACATGCAGATTGCTTTTGGTAGTATAGCCATTTTTACTATGTTGATTCTACCAAACCATGAGCATGGGAAATCTCTTCACCTTCTGTAGTCTTCCTCGATCTCTTTCTACAGCGGTTTGTGGTTCTCTTATAGAGGTCATTCACATCCTTTGTTAAATTTACTCCTAGGTATTTGATTTTTTTTGAGGCTTTTGTAAATCAAATTGTTTCCATATATTCTTTCTCAGTTTGTTCGTTATTGGTGTATAGAAAAACTTAAAGTTTTCTGTCCATTGATTTTGTATCCTTCCACCTTGCTGTAGCTGTTTATTGTGTCTAGGAGTTTTTGGGTAGCATTTTTTGGTCTTTAAGGTATTTGATCATATCGTCTGCAAATAGGGATATTTTGACAGTTTCTTTACCTATTTGTATTCCTTTTATTCCTTATTCTTGCCTAATTGCTCTGGCTAGGTATTCCAGTACTATGTTGAATAGGAGTGGGAAGAATGGACGCCCTTGTCACATTCCTGATTTTAGGGGAAATGGTTTCAGTTTTTCACTGTTAAGTATGATGTTGGCTGTAGGTTTGTCATATATAGCTTTTATAATGTTGAAGTGCTTTCCTTCTATTCCTAGTTTTTCTTAGAGCTTTTATCATGAAATGGTGTTGGATCTTATCAAAGACTTTTTCTGCATCTGTTGAGATGATCAAGTGGTTTTTGTCTTTGCTTCTATTGATGTGCTGTATTACATTTATAGATTTACATATGTTGAATCACTCCTGCATCCCTGCAATGAAGCCAACTTGGTCATGGTGAATGATCTTTTTGATGTGTTGTTGGATTTGGTTTGCCATTATTTTATTGAGGATTTTTGCATCAATGTTCATTAAAGACATTGGCCAATAGTTCTCTCTTTTTTTTCGAAGTTTCTTTGTCTGGTTTTGGAATGAGTGTAATACTGGCTTCATAAAATGAGTTAGGCAGTTTTCCTTCCCTTTCTATTTCATGGAACAGTTTAAGAAGGATTGGTATTATTTCTTCTTTAAATGTCTGATAGAATTCATCAGAGAATCCATCAGGTCCTCGACTTTTCTTTTGAGGAGATTCTTTTTTGCTGTTTCAATTTCATTGTATGTTATAGATTTTTTGGATGATTAACGTCCTCCTGGTTCAATTTTGGATAGTCATAAGTATCTAGAAATCTGTCCCTTCTTCAAGATTTTCAAATTTATTAAAATATAGTTTCTCAAAGTAGTCCCTGTTGATTTCCTGGATTTCTGTAGTGTTTGTCATTATCACCCCTTTTGCATTTCTGATTTTACTGATTTGAGTTTTTTCTCTCCTCATTTTAGACAGGTTTGCCAGGGGTCTCTCAATCTTTTTTATTTTTTCAAAGAACCAACTTTTTGGTTCATTGATTCTTTGTATGGTTTTTTTGTTTCTATTTCATTGATATTAACCTTTACTTTTATTATTTCTCTCCTTCTGTTTGTTTTGGTATTTTCTTGTTCTTGTTTTTCTAGGAGTTTGAGACGTAGCATTAGGTCATTGATTTGAGATCTTTCTATTCTTTAATATATACACTCATGGATGTAAACTTTCCTCTCAGGACTGCCTTTGCTGTGTCTTTTAGGTTCCAGAAGGTCATGTTTTCATTTTCATTAACTTCCAGGAAACTTTTAAATTCCTCTTTTATTTCTTCAATGACCCATTGATCATTGAGCAATGTGCTGTTCAACTTCCAAGTATTTGCCTGTTTCTACTATTGGTTTTGTTGTTGAGTTCTAGTTTTAATACATGGTGATCAGATGGAATGCATGGGATTGTTTCTATTTTCTTATATTTGCTGAGGCATACTTTGTGCCATAAGATATGACTAATTTTGGAGAAGGTTCCATGGGCTTCTGAGAAGACTATATATTGTGCAGAATTTTGATGAAATATTCAGTAGACATCAGGTAGGTCTATTTGATCTATGGTGTGATTTAGATCTAGGATTTCTTTATTGATATTTCATTTGGATGACCTATCTATTGGGGTATTAAAGTCTTCCACTAACATTGTGTTGGAGTTTATATATGTGTTTAGGTCCTTCTGCATATGTTTGATGAAATTGGGAGCATTGATGTTGGGTGCATATAGGCCGATAATTGTTATTTCCTTTTGGTCTATTTCCCCTTTTGTTAGTATGGAATGTCCTTCTTTATCTCATTTGTTCAATGTATGTTTGAAGTCTACTTTGTCTGAGATAAGTATTGCTACTCCTGCCTGTTATCGGGCTTGGTAAATCTTCTTCTAGCCTTTCACCCTAAACTAGTGCTTGTATCTGTGGATGAGATGGGTCTCCTGTAAGCAAAAGATTGTTAGATCTTTCTGCTTAATCCAGTTTGCCAAACAGTGTCTTTTGATGGTAGAATTAAGTCCATTAATATTCTGTGTTATTATTGATAGGTATGTGGTGATTCTTGTCATTTAGTTGTCTTTATTGTTTAACGGTTTGGTTGTGTGCATCTAAATCAATGTTACTCTCTACCTTCTTGCCTTTTCTTCTCCTGTGGTTTGGTACTGCCTGTCCTTTCATGGTTTTGTATGCTTTAATTTTCTGTGTGCAGGATTCCTTGACAAATCTTTTGTAGTGGTGGCTTTGTGGTCATATATTGTTTAGCTTCTGCTTATCATGGAAGACTTTTATTGCTCCATCTATTTTGAATGATAGTTTTGCTGGGTAGAGTATCCTAGGGTGGAAGTTATTTTTATGCAGTGCCCGGAATACCTCAATCCATGCTCTTCTTGTTTTTAATGTTTCCATTGAGAAATCTGCTGTGATTTTGATGGGTTTACCTTTGTATCTTATTTGTTTTTACTCTTACAGCCTTCAATATTCTTTTTCTATTCTCTGTGCTTGTTGTTTTAATGATAATAGGTCGTGGGATGGTTCTATTTTGGTCAAGTCTGTTTTTTTTCCTGGAGGCTTCCTGTACTTGAATGGGCCTAGTTTTCTGTAGATTTTGGAAATTTTCTGTTGTTGTTTTGTTGACTATATTATGAATTCCTTTTGCTTGCACCTCTCGTCCTTCTTCA